TGCTATGTTCCAATTAAGGATAGATTATCGTCTCACCTTCAATGTCTTTTGACTACAGGCTGAACCTCTCTAGTCCAGCACCCTCAGGATCTTGCCAGTATCAAACCAGAGAATTTGCTGGACCACGGGAGGTCAATATTGTCTAGCAGGATTACCAACACTTCCACTGCTTACTAGGCTCTTAGAAGACATTTGGGATGTGTCTAGACTGGCAAGATTTTGTGCAAAAACTTGCCAGCTGTCTACACCGGCCGCTTGAATTTGCGCAAGAGCACTGACTTTGTAATGTACAAAATCAGTGCTTCTTGCGCAAATACTTTCACACTCCCGCTCGGGAAAAAGCCCTCTTGCACAAGAATACTTGCTCAAGAGGGCCAGTATTGACCGGGAAGAATTGTTTTGCGCAAAAAAGCCCCGATGGCTAAAATGGCGATTGGGGCTTTCTTGCGCAAAATCACGTCTAGACTGGCCACGGATGCTTTTGCGCAAAAGCATCCTTGCCAATCTAGACACGCTTTTGCGGAAATACTTTTAACGGAAAAAATCATGCCAGTCTAGACACAGCCTTGGGGTAAATTAGAGCTATACAACAGCATGGAACACTGAAAGAGCCAGGACTGGTAGCTGTAAACCCCACATTATGGGACCACAGGAAACTTGGCCACTCCCATGATAAGTGCACATTCAGCAATTAAAATCATACCAGATGTTGCCAGACGAGAGAGAGCTGACCTTGAGAGGTTCAACATGTTCTTAAAGATCTATAAAGACCTTCTTGTATTTATTCCCTTGGTGGGTTTGTTTTTTCTTTTAAACCTTCATGGAAGGGTGTAAAGAGTATAATTCTCTTAGGGTACGGCTAAACTGTGGGGGGAGGGGGATTGGGGATCCAGGGAATGCGTTTGGTCTTCCACGTTTTTTTGCGGAAGAGCACACGCGCTCTTTCGGAAACCCCATTATTCCTTGTTCTACGAGGAAGAAAGGGGGCTTTCGAAAGAGGGTTTTTTCCAACATTTGGCCCAATTTAGATGGGCCAAATGTCGGAAAAGCCTCTTCTGACAAAAGATTCAAAAAAAATTTTGCGTACCTTTTTCCGACAAAAATTTGTTGTCTAGCCATTCCATTTCAGGGAATTAAAAATTGCAAATGCATGTATTAAGAGGTTTACTAAAAAGAATATATATTTTTCTTATAAACCAGAAAGGCTTCATGCTTGTTAACTACATTCATTCATATAATAAAAAAATGTATCGGCATTATTGATACAATAAGCTGTCATGCTCCCCGAGGAGCCATTTTGGTCTATGAAATACATAGTATTATATTTAATACACACAACACAAAATGTTTACCTGACATAAATGGTTCCTTCAGAACTGATGTTTGCCAGTTCATATTTATGTATTTTTTAATTTGATAGACTATATTGTCTATGGTATATTGTAAAAAAATAAACAAACAAACAAGTATATGGTCCTGGAGCATGGGCCCTCAGAACAAGCTATAGACATGCCATACCTTGGTATATTAAATTCATTTAATTATATAGAAATTTCATGAGAAATTAAGTGTGTATGTTCAGTAATCCCTATTTTAAACATGAATTTGTTTTGTTTGAATATATTAACATTTAGGAAGGACCTAACACACATCATAATAATAATCTGCAGGATTTTGTTTAAAAACCAAGTCAAAGCAATCACCCAAATCCTGTAAATCCTCAGTTTCAGTCCCACAGATATAAAAATCAGCAGCTTGACTTTTTTTTAAAATTTGTGTCAGATCTGCACACAGGCATGTTAAGTTTTTGCCCCAGACAAAATGTGTATTGCAGCACAGCTCCCTAAATACTAAATTGGTATAATCAACTCTTGCAATTTTATTGCAAGTCTTGTGATCTTTGTAACTTTTCCTTAAAGACCAAGCTTTTGTAAATGTGTGATTATGTAAGAATCTCAGCTTTCATTTGAAAACTAAATTAAAGGTTCTAGCCCTCAGACTTGCAGAGCAAAGTTTGAAAATGTGATCCAAGTGAACCCTAAAAACTCAAAAGCTAGGAGCAAATAAGACAAAAAAAACACAAAAAAACCCCAAAATGTACTTACATTTTAAAAATCTCATGCTTTTTAAGCTAATCTCATGATTTTTGAGATGACAATACTCACAAGTGCTCACACTATACTTCTAAGTATAATAATGCTAAGAAAGACACAAGGTGCTTGGTTAAAATTTAAAAAAGAATCTTTGAGAAAAAAGGTATACTAAATGCCAAGCACTGGAAGTACTGGCAGAAATTAAAACAGCCAAAAGGAATTATTTTTGGCTATAGCCCATGCAATCACCCTCAGTAAATTCCTTGCTACAAACACAACCAAGTTTCTCTTTTGATAGCAACTGGGAACCATAAGACTAGTTATGAGAAAGGCTTCCAAAATATACTGCTTACTATATTCTTCATGGAGTAAGAAATTGCACTTCAAATATTAGGAGCCTTTCCATGGACTTTAATGAGTTATTTCTGGCTCTAAAGAGAAGAGTGGCAGAAAGAACAGCACAGTTTCTCATATTTCAGGTTCCCTTTGAGAGCTGGATCATATGCCAAACATGAGGAAAGTAAAGGTCTTGTTCTAGTCACCTCAAGTAAAACAATCATGCACTTCTTCCCCAGTAGCTTGTGAAACCTGGCTCTCCTTAAAGGAAAATAAGAAAATCTGTTTCAAAGAACTGGAACAGAATTGAATAATCAAGAATTTCTGTAAGGGGTGGAGAAAGGCTCAGAGGAGGATAGCAGATCTGCTCTGATTTTTAACACACACCATCCAGCAAGACTGCATTTGAAATCCTACCTAGCCCATTCCCCTTTCTCCACCCACCTGCCTCCCATCAAAATAGAAAAGGTAGATGACTGACAACGCAATTAGGGACAGATTAACAATCCTCAAATCTGCACTGTCCAGCTTCTTTTAATTCTCCACATTCTTTTGGGGGGAAGGGGCAAATACACAGTGAAAGAAAAGGGGGAGGTGAAACCATCTGAAAAGTCTTTATGCAATCAAGGGGATATTATTTCAGGAGACAGAAAAGGGGCAAAGGATTCACGTTGCTAAGGAGACACTTTGAAGCTGACATTCCTACATAAATTTACATTTATACTGAAGAAGGAAAAGAAAGCTGTTCTCCAAAGTTTGTTTAAATTCCCTGGAAACTGAACCAAGATGACAATTTTAAGAGTAATTTATGCATTATTAAGCCTAAAATAAATCACACTAAAGCCCATCAAATGTTACCCCTACACACTGACAATTAATACGATAATTTAAAACAATCAACATGGGGAATCCTATAATAGTGTTTTCAAGCAGAGCTTAGATGGAGTCTGAGAAGTATAAAATGATTTCACAGAAGCCAGGAAAATAATAAAACAATGTACTAAACACATACAATATAAAACCAGGCAAATAGCTAATGATATTTTCCCTGCAGGGTTACCAACATTCTGAGGGCAAAGACTGACCGAAATGGGTGCATTAGCACGTTTTTTTCTGTGTGGGTTTTTATTTTAATTTGTTAATGTTTCCATTGGGACACCAGAAGTTTTTGCAATGAAGCCTAGAAAAAACCCCTACAAAATTAGATTTTTTCAAACAGCTTATTTGTTTCATTCATTGACAGTTGCTGAGTATCCCAAGCCATTTTTAAATAGGAAAGGTGTCCCCTCTTCGCCAGTTCACGAACAAAAGAGACAAAAAAGCTTTAGAAACACAATAAACCAAAACGAGGGAAGGGACAGTAGGGCAAAATGAGCTTGAAAGGAGAAGAAAGGACATGCACTTGAAAGAAAGGAAATACATAAGCAGGGGGAGGCAGAAAGGAGCAAAAGGATGGCAGAATTCAGAGTGTATCTGCTCAGGACAAAGAAAAAAAAAGAAATACTATTTATTGAGTAGGATGACCTGCAGATCACTGGGCCTGAGAACCCACAACTTTACAGGTTGATCATTTTGGAGAGGAGAAGTGATATAACCCTTATTCACCAAGAAATGCTCATTCTTGGTGAACCACTACTCAGAAAACATAGCCAACCAAAACTCAGGGCCTTTTGGCATAATAAAAGACTAACACAGCCACCTAGCTGACTTTCAGAAACATTCTTAAATCTCTCCTGCCTTCCTGACCACAAAACAGAGAAAGGGCATTTTGGTACACAGAATTGTGGAACGCTCTGCACAGATGAATGTTATCCATATCACTTATCTATCCATTTGGAGTTAGCGAGATAGAGAAATAGAAGCAGAGGTGCAGGACTGGGATGCGGTACAGCAGAGTGGAACCTGGAATGCAGTACTAAAGGAGGAGGCAAAGGAGACTGGACTGCTTTACTAGATAGAGGAGAGGACAGGGATTGGGATGCAGACCTGAGGAGGAGAGGCAGCAGATAAGGAGACTGGGATACAGTCTGGGGATGGAGGGGGATGGGATCTGGAGGCAATGCTGGCAGATCAGGCTAGAAAGTGCAGGATAGAAGGTTAGAGGACAGGGCTGTGTGATGGGTGGAAGGACTAGGAGTGGAATGTAGGGCTAGTCAGGAGTAAGGGAGTGGAATGGCTGGAAGCTAATGGGTAGGAGAGCTGGCAATGGGTGGATGTTATGGTCAGCTGAAGTGCAGGGTGCTAGATAGGGGAGGGGTGGATATGGGTAGCCGAATAATAGGGCGATTAGGTCGGAGTGTCGTGGGGGAGAACCGCTGGGTCAGGGTGGACATGGGCGGATTAGGGGTGGTCTGGCTGGGGGAGCTGCTGAGGAGGGATGGCTGTGGGCAGCGGCAGGACACGGGTGGGGGGGTGATAGGGGTAGAGGGAGGGAGAGGTGATGGGAGCAGGGGAGACAATAGGGTCTGGGGGCAGGAGAGGTGCTGGGGGGAGGAGAGCCAATAGGGACGGGGACCGGAGAGGTGGTAGGGCAGGAGAAGGGAGAGGCCGGGGGGCGGGGATGTAGCTCACCGCTGTGCAGGGTGGACTCGCAGAGCCAGCTGTCCAAGTTGCCGGGCTTGCGGCAGGACTCCCAGAGGGACAGGTAATACTGGTGGTCGGCCGTGACCCAGGCCGGGCTCAGCACGGCTCCCAGGTCCAGGCACAGCGCCAGGAAGATGCACACCAGCCCCACCAGCTTGAGCGGGGTCAGCACCGACACGCGCACCTCCTCCATCCCGCTGCCGGCTGAAGCCATGGGGGCCGGGGAAGAGCCGCCGCCGCCGCCGACCCCGGCAAGCGCAGGAAGGGGGGCGCCGGGGAACTGCAGCTGCCCCTCAGCCCCGCG